AAAACAGTCTTAAACAGTTGACTACTTTTTGCTGGTTCAAAATTGGGTATGGTCGGTGTTGGTGAGCCGCTTTTGTGGTTTCTTTCCTTTTCTGTCGAATGAGGTTCAATTTGGATCTGGTGTTTCGCAAGGCTTGATTTCCGGACCTATTTTGTTCAATATCTTCTTCAACGATGTGGCCAGCTCTATTAAATTGTGTAAGGTTGCTTTGTTACCTGATGATCTCACGATTTCTAAAGACGTCTCGACATCTCATGATTTTACTTATATTGCAGAAGGACATCTCTGATTTCTATGATTGGTGCTTGCGTAGGTCGTAATCAACATTGATCAATGGCATTAGATTTGTTTCTCGTTTAAGAGGTTCCTTTTTCGAGTCTGTATCTTTTTTCTTATTCCATTGGTGGTATTCCTTCTTAAAGAAGTAGTTACGATTCTAGATTTGGGAGTTGTCTAACATTTGCACCTTTGAGGACCACTATCCGTTTTTGTGTTGGTTTCTTTACTTTCTGATGGGAAGATCCTTTTGTCTCAGTTTAGATGGTTTCTCGTCGAATGAGGTTCAATTTGGATCTGGTGTTTCGCAAGGCTCGATTTCTGGGCCGATTTTGTTCAATATCTTCTTCAACGATGTAGATCTCTATTAAATTGAATAAGGTTGCTTTGCTACCTGATGTTCTCACGGCATAGGTCACGATTAACATTGATCAATGACATTTGTTCTCTTCAAAGAGATTCCTTTTTTAAGTCCGTATCCTTTGTCCCATCCGTAATTTGTCTAATTGGACTTGGTTTGTTCCATTACGTCTAATTTAAAAGGCTATAATTGTAGTTGTGTATGCTAGTTGGATGTGGTCCCCCTCGTATAAGACTCATATTGGTTCATGGAACAAAAACAAATTAGAGCTTGTTACCTTTTTTTTAAATCTTGGCTTAGTTTTTTCATTTGATACAGCCCTTAACGTTTTCAATTTAGGTTCCTTAGGTTTACGCCGATTGGTTGCTTTTCTGATTTTTGCATGGAAGCTTTTTAACGGACTTGCCGTCTCCTCAGAGCTTCTTTCTCAGCTTTTTTGTTAACTCCATAACCGTAATCTACGATTTTATGAGCTGTTTTATGTTCCAACATGCAGGACAAATTTGTCTTTGATTTGTCTGCTTATCCTCGCTGGATTGGTCCGCCAGAAGCGTTTAGCCATTTGGCCATTTCCAGTGGATAGCCAGGGTTATAAGCAGGGTAGAGGGGAGACAATAGGTCTATGTTATCGTCGCAGAAGCACGAGAAACAGAAACGCGACTGACAGACCAACCCGGCGAGGTTATGCAAACCGAAATGACCGGTAGCTACCATATTACAGAAATCATATTCAGAAAGAGTCAAACTGTCTTCAAAAAGGAACGGATCAGACTAGGTGGAAAAACACCGTAGGACAGGGCCAGGCATGCAGGCACAGACAAGAAAGTCTCCTAAATAAATAAATATTTCGGGACTACCATGTCCTCAGAGACACCTCCGGAAGAATGAGCTCCATAAAAACCATCCAAAATTGCATAAACAACGTTTAAGAAGAACTGAAAAATTCCTATTTTATATTTATTTCTTACAGAACAACTTTCAAAAGAGGTAAAACTTAAATAGACAGACAAGAACAGTTTATGGAGTCCGATACTCATGGCCCCTAGGGACGAAATGGACAAAAAGCTTGAATTTAAACAAAACTTCCAGATAAACCTGAGTACCAAAAAAGATTGAGCTAAAACAAAAACCCTTTGTTAAAGGGTTTAGCCCTGCTGGTACTCAGATGGATCTAGTACTCGGGAGTATAATGAGGTTAATACTCAAAGCCCATGGGGAAGTACACCAATAATCTTTCAAGCTGAAATTCACACAATTGCGTACTCTGGTCAATCTGAATAAATACTAAAACAAGGACAACTATCCTTTCGCAAATCCAGGTAGCCATCAGATTAAACTCAAACATTATTATCTCATAGATAATGCTGAATTGCCAAAATAATTAAACAATTTAGGCTTGCAGGTCCTAAGTCCTTTTGTGACATCCACACTATCAATGAGGAGGTACGAAGCAAAGAATGCAATTCATTGGATAATCCAAAGGTTGCAGGAAAAAACTCCGAATCCTGACAGGATTCCTAATGGGGCACTGCGTACTGAATGGGCATTTGAAAAAGATTGGTATGGTGGTTGGTTTCAACGACGTACTTGCAGATGAGATACTAACTAGCTAGCTACTAATGCTTTGGGATGTTCAACGTGTCCGTACGGGAAATACTAAAACTGGGCCTAATAATCCCAATTCCTTGATGAATTGAGACCCACCGGTGTGCTATAGGTACAGGACGGAGAATACACTGCTCTCATATGTAATATACCAAATCGCCCTGAACTTCTAAATCTTCTTTCTTCATAATGGAAATATTGGGTTGATGCAAAATTAATGCAGGTTTTTGATGTTCAGTAAAAACAAGCTACAATTTAACTTCAACAAAATATATTTAATGGAAAGAACTTCCATTACTATATATACATTTTTGCCAAAACACAACCAGTACATTAATATAAGAAGAGTCGAAACTAGGTTCTCTAGAATCGACGAACTCCCGAAATGCCTTTCCAATGTAATTCTGGCTTCTGAACCGTTTCTCGCACAAAAAGTTGTCGAGATTTAAAAATATGATAATCTTTAGGAGAATGGTCCGGTGAGTATGGTGGATGTGGAAATTCCTCGTAACCCAACTCATGAAATGCCAGAGTCCGTTGTGCATAGGCTCCTACTGATTAATCAATTCTGGCCATAAATGTCGCAGTTTTCGGTCCATCTCATTAATTTCATTACAGTACTTTTCAGCAGTGATGGTTTCACCCGGATTGAAGAAGCTTTAATGAACGAGTCCTGCAGAAGACCACCAGACAGTGGCCATAATTTTTTTTAGAAGTAAGCTTGGCTTTGGGAAGTGCGCTGGTTGTACTCTTATACAGCCTTTGTCTAGAACGCTATTGTCGTATAATATAATTTTTCGTCACACGTTATATACGACTGATAAATGGATCATTTTTGTTGCGTACGGAAAGCATTAAACAGATTTGGGATCTTTTATACCTGGGATCCTTTTGGCGGTGGTTCAGCTCATGCACACACTCGGCGAGTTTTTTTTCCCAATAGCTTCCAAATGGCGAACGCCTATGGATTGGTCAACACCAAGTTCTTCAGCCATTTCTCGAAGAATTTTTGTGGGTTCTGCTTCAACTAACTTTAACTGGTCGATGTCAACAGCAGAAGGACGTCCACCACCTTCTTTGCTCGTGTGGTCATAATCTCTCCATTACGGAATTTAATTACCAACGCTAAACTGTGGATTCATTTATGGTTCCTTGCCCCCTAATGTCTTTACTGTTTCGAGCGGTTTGCGCTGCACTTCGCCCAAGTTTAAATTCATAGAAATAAATTTGCCGAAAATCGCTCTTAGACATAATTTTGTTTGAAGGCACTTAATAAAATATTTTTACTAAACGGATTGTAAGAAAAAGAAAGTGAGATAAGGCTTTAAAATTATGTTTTTCGCTTAGCAAAATGGATTTTGGTTTACATATTTTGTATTGAAATTGAAGCGAAAAGGAAAATCTGCATTTATTTTGCATCAATACAATATATATAGATGGAATTTAGAAGGAATTCAGGTCGATAACATTAATTTTTCAACGTCCATTTTATAGAGAAAAGGTCAAAAAATTTAGTCCAAATGATCCAAATCTAAACAGGTCGCACGCTGGCAATGTCAATGGTAGCTCTTTTCCTTGCGATTTTAGCTACTCTCACGGCATCGCATCGCAAGCAGCGTAAATGGGCTGACAGACCAACTAGTATAGGAAGACCAAAATGATCGGAACGACCAAATTTATAGTTTCATCACTCTACAGACCACAGCGAGAAATTTCCCAAAATAAAATGTATGTAAATGACTATTCAACATGATTCTCTTTGTTTTTGTTATTTCGGCCGAATAGGGCACACTTTCAAGTTTGTTCTTTGTGTTTAAATTTATTTACCCCACCTAACGTATTCTCAACGACAATCAATGTGCTGAAAAGCCGCGCAGCCGCGTCGCACCGGGGAAATGCCTTCCAGATTCGAAACTTGTCCACCGGTTTTCACACATTGAACAACGAAATAAGCGAAATCTGTTTCTAGAGAAGAAAATGTGAAAGCAAAGTGGAAATTTATCAGCCTTTGAAAAATTCCTTAAAGGACAAAGGAACAACTAACAATAGACTCCGAGAGAGTTAAAAGATTTTCAAAATATTATTTTAAAAAAGTAGATCCATAAATTCAGCTGTGGCAATAACCAAAGAATAAACTATTCAATTTTTCGTTGAAATTTCAAACTATTTGCGTTAAAAAAAGTGCTTTATTACAATGGACAACTGTCATTCTTCTGCAATCGCTTGAGTAAGTCGATAGCTATAAATCCATTTTAGTTATTTCCAGTCTCGAGGTGTAACTCGTCTGCATCAGTTTGTTAATGGAACTCTGCTTTTGTTAGTACACCCTCTAATGCGAAAGTTTCCAGCAATATTATAGAAACTTAGGACAAAAGTTTCGATACTTTCAATAAAGACGGGTGTTTAGTTTTCAACCTAGTAGTTTTATGTTAACAAATTTAAGTGAAATTTGTCGTACAAGCAATACTGAAAGGTTTAGTACCTTGTTGCTAAGTGACTTTGAAGTTATGCAATTATTGAAATTCAATTATCATGTCGGCAGTTTTCCTAAGATACTTTCAGCCGATGCTTTCAAATTTTATGGCCAGTTGCAGATTATGCATCGAATAGTTTTAATTTTCAAGAATTTATGTCAATAGACGGTGTCCGAAGGTGTTCAACCTGACCACGTGTACTCCGCGCGCAACAGGTGACACCGCCTGATTTATCAGCTCGGGGTTTTCGGGTATTTTGACAACAGGTTTTAAAAAATCCTCACCTCCGTTCGAAAGGTTGAACTTGACGCCGAAGTCCTTGTCTGGGCCGCCGGGGTTATGGCTGGCCGTTAAAAGTATCCCTCCAGTCGCGTTGTGCAGTCTTATGAGATGGGAAGCGGCAGGCGTTGACAGTATGCCGCCTTGACCCACGTAAATTTTATCAACCTGAAATTTAAACAAAAAATCATTACTAATATATTACGGGGTTTAGTAAATTTGTGAAAATTAAAATTGGAGTTCTATCAGGGGGAGTTCTATCATCTATTTGTAAGGGGGTTTCTTATCTGCCTTCCCTTTACCTTGTTGGCAGCTGAAATATTAATAATGAGCCGGACGGCTTCCTTGACGAAATAACGTCCGTCGCCACCTAGGACGATGGTGTACGGCCCGTTATTTTCCTTTTTTAAATAGTCCAGGATGCTCTGGACGAAACTTTCCGTGTAGTGCTTCTGTAGGAAGACTTTGACGTTCTTGCGAAGTCCGCTCGTGCCCGGCTGTTGGTCGCTGAACGGGCGGAAATTCACCGACTCGATTTCATAGGCCATATCGGAACGACCGACGACTCTGCGATACGGGATCACAATCGGGACTGGTTGAGTGGTTTTATCTTGCGGCCTAGAACTTCCAGTTTGACGGGGGCATGCGCAGATTCGATGGCAATGACACCGCACCGTTCGAAATTCCTGCCTATTAACCGAATTTCTGATCCGGAAGAAGTATTTTTAATTTACAAATAGTAATTTATACTTAAAAGTATGCGTTTGACAAGTTTGTAAAAGCTTCCAAGAAGTATACGTTAATAGTAACACAAGAAAGCCTTATAAAACTATAAATGGACAATGACAAATAATTTTAAAAGAATGTTTCATCTGATCGGCCAATCACCTACAACAACAAATTCTGAATAATTTTATCTCGAGGATGCCTGAAATCGCTAGGCTCGCTCCTGACAAAATAGCGCCCACAAACCGAAAGAATGTGAGAGAAATAAAATTTAAAAGCCATCTGGCTGATCCCAACTATATCTATGACAAAAATATCAGTTCTGTCATCAATGCTTATGGTACGACACACCATTCTGTAAAAATCGTAAAATTTTTCTAGTAACCAGAAAACAAGTCGTTACCGATAATTCAATCATTATAATCATCATTAAAAAAGCCCTACAGAACAAAGCATAATTAAAACAAGGATTTGTGAGATTTCATCCTAAGGCCTCGGGGTGATGAACCTTTGTTGGTTTCTATAACTTCCCGCCATCTTCAGTGATGGGCCAGAACGACGCAACACTGAATCTGGCAAAATGGAAACGACAAAACTACAAGTCTATCACCACTCTCCAAGTAGCAGTCTTACAATTTTAATTACTTATTCATAATAAAAGACTTAATTAAAATTAAAAATGCCTTTTGGGGTCTCAGGGGTGGTACACCTGAGTTTAGAAAGTTTGGTCGTTTCCGACAACTTTGGCCTGGCGTCGCTGGTTTAGACGGGCGCGTTTCGACCTCACGCCATCATCAGTGGTGCGTTTTGATTAATATACAAATACGCAAAAATAACACACTCGTACCCATTCTCGCTGGGTTAGAATAGATGCTTTTCGCTATCTTTTAGTGTTTGGCCTGAATTATCCCTGAGTATGGCGAAATGCGTGACATACTAACCCAGCAAGAATGGGTACGAGTGTGTTATTTTTGCGTATTTGTATATTAATCAAAACGCACCACTGATGATGGCGTGAGGTCGAAACGCGCCCGTCTAAACCAGAGATGCCAGGCCAAAGTTGTCGGAAACGAGCACACTGTCTAAACTCAATTACTTCAAATTCCAAAACAAAAACCTTGAAGTTCTTTCGTTACAATGTTTTTGAATAAACTGTTTATCTAATAAAAGATTAACTATTATCAGCGGTTTAATCTAAAATACGGCAAACGAAGCCTTTAAGAGTAAACAATTTTTATTTTGTAGCCTGGCGTTTCCTCTTGTTTTGATCATACTGATTAATTTGACGTATCATCGCTGTTTTGGTCTATAAGGCAGACGCGACGGCTTTCTGAAATCATTCGTTGGTTTTGGTGAATGAACTGCAAACGCAAAAAAAAAAAAAAAACACCGGGAATAACTAGAACTTACTGAAATAGACCAAAAGAATGGGGAAAAGATAAGAAAATGGTCGTTAATGACCAAATTTAAAAAAAAAAAAAATGTAAAATGAATAAAACAAAAAAATATATATATATATTTATATATTTATATATATTTATTGATGACCTCGTCTTCAAACGAATTACGTTAATTATTTTAGCTAATTTACATAAGGCAACTTTTATTATGTACTAACGAAACGTAAAAACGTTACTCTTGGCTTCCTTTGAATCTTCCAGTATGGTTATTTTGATTTGAACATTTTTTTACTGGATAATTCATTTCTAAACTGATTTGTAAAGTAGTGTATATGAGTCTATAATAATTTTTATGTAAAGATGAAAAATTAGTCTCACGAAAGGGGCTCGAAACCACGAGATCCTTGACTTGGAGAAAAACGTCACTTTTTAAAAACAAAATACATTGAATATCACGTGCACCAAGACTACTGTGGGAGTAAAAGTTTTCTAGCAGAAGAACGGTAAATTAATTTTTACCGTCAATTAACTTTTACCCCCTTTCTCTTTTCTGACAATGTTTTGTTAATAGAATACGATCGCCTGATACAATATTTACCAAAAGTGGACCGACAGTTCTTCTTAGTAAAACATGTCCCAGTTCAGTTTGTTCTAGTTTACGGTTAAAAGTATACTTGTATATTTGAACAAACCATACAATATCTGTCACTTATCTGGGTGTAACGATTGTAGAACCTGTAATACTGTTCTTGTATTAAAAGCTCACGAACATCTAGATTTAAGAGAAATTTCTATTTTTCGAGTTCGTGTAACTTACATCCAACAGTAAAAATGGCAAAGCTCACTAATTGTAAATGCAAATATCTAACGCGGCNATTTCTTTTTGTTTTATTCATTTTACATTTTTTCTTTTTTTAAATTTGGTCATTTACAACCACTTTTCTCATCCTATCCCCGCTCTTTCGGTCTATTTTAGTAAGTAGTATTTTAGTAGTAATATTATATATACATATATGAAATCAAGAAAGTAAAATAAATATAAGTTTATCGGCAAAGTAGGAATGAATTTTTCAAAAATGTTTCTACTAGCTTCCGAAACTACGGTTTTGTTATTAAACTTAAAGTTTTTATACCATTTGCATTATTGTAAAAGACCAGGTTGAACAATGGAATTTGTTTTATGTCAAAAAGATTTCTTGTTTTTGTGATTATAGTTGTTTAGGATTTATTTTATTTCCTACATTCTCATTAAATTGTGATTAAAAAGTGCGATTAAAAATTGAGTGAACTGTAATCCATTAGGGATTATTTTCAAATATTGGATTATGTAACGAACCGAAAGTGGGAAAACATAAAAATGTAATCGGATAGTTTCTGATCTGACGCATGAATTTTTTTTTTTTTTCGAAACCACACAAAAAACATGTTTGTAATAACACTTACGACCCAAAGATGGTCCTTTTTGATTGGAAAATATTATTAATATTTTTGAATAGCTAATTGTGCGTGTTATTTCTTATTGATGCCTATTCGTTTGTGAAGATGTATTGTGGTTCGGTCTTTTCCGATCATTCATGTGATGGACAGAAAGTACTGGACTTGTGCGGATGTCGGTCATTTATTTTTGGCATCAAGTTAAATAAATAAAAAACTTTCAACCAGCCCATTTACACTGCTCAAGAATACTTTAAGTAGTATTCATTTAGCACAAATAAATATAATCCATATTATTTCAATTAATTATTCTTTTAATGTAAGGTCTTGGTTGAGATGAAAAAGTTAGTGTCATGAGCGGGATTCGACCCCACGACCTTCACCTTACATAAACAGAATAATTAATTGAAGTAATTAATGTGGTCAATTAGACCACTAAACACATTGGATTCTATATTATTTTAATTAATTATTAGGTAGGGGGGCCGCGAGTGGTTAAGGCGTCAGACTCTCGGCTAATAGATCCCGCGGTCGTGGGTTCGATCCCCACCGTCGCCTCTGGACTTTTTCTGACGCCTAAGGGGACCGGTGGCCGCAATTGAAAGAAATTGACACGGCACTGATCAATGGAAGGGGCGCGATCGGATCTCAGCGATTTGGTCCCAACCCCCTTCAAAAATGAGTTTCTTCGATGAAAGAACACCGGTACAACGGGGGCTCAAGTTCACACTTCTGTTGCGAGCCCTCCCCCAAAAATATGAAGCCAGGGATAAAGTACAATAAGCTGTACAGCTCAGCTGCAGTGCTCCTCCAGTCCCTGGTATACAAAAAAAAAAAAATTGGTACTGTATTTACAGTAGACTCCGACATACGATGTATTATCATTGTGTAGTTTTGCAATAAATTTTATTGCCTGTTTGGTTTTGTGTGTGGACGAGATGAAATCCGTATCAAGCTAAAGAAAAATTATAATTAATATTTTTACGTAAGATTTTGGTTCAAATGAAAAAGCTATGGCCACGAGCGGGATTCGAACCCATGACCCTCGGCTCAATATGCCGCTGCTCTACCATTTGAGCTATCGTAACTTCGATCCACTCGGACACCAACTCCCATCCCAACCTACAATTTCGAATTTCTCCACCTTTTGGCCATTTTTCATTTCAACCAAAACCTTACATAAAAAGTATATTAATTGAAAGAAGTAATTTGGTCAATATAACACTAAATATAACGGATTAAATAAATTATAATATGTAATATAAAAATACTCTCTTCAGAATTTAATAAATAAAACTGAAAAAAGTCCACCAAATGGCTGTTTTCCCTCTTCTCAGTAGACTTTGGAGCAACTTTCTTTTTAATTTAAGCCAATCTAGCACAAAATTGGTTTCATTCTGATTAAATCGGTTTCAAGTTAGTTTTGATACAAAATTTTTACTGTAGTAAATAACTGATAAAACCTTAAGAATGATTTGGATGGAAGTGGGTCAGATCTGATTGATAACGGATCGTCATAGTAGTTTTTTCCTAGGTGTTAAAACCGAATTTCTAAATTGCATATTTTATATTATTGCAATTGTTCTATTAGTAACCATCGCATAATTAAAATTGAACATAATTTTTATTTGTATAAAATATGTTAGTGTTTGCCACCCTAACCCACCTTCTAACGTCGATGTGACCATTTTTCGGCGTCGTTTGGAATTTTTCCTATTTAAAAAAAGGCGGCAGTTCAAAAAATCCAGGAGGTAAAGCCTTGGCCGGTATCTCGTGTTTACTAGGGCATGGTCCATCCTTTAAAAATCGTGAACCGGCCTGTTCGCCGATACGGAGGGACTCTTGGAGGGGGCCTGAGTTACATAACCGGCACGTCCTCAGTAGAAACATAACGCGACTGCAGTCCGATTCCAGCAGCATGAGTTTGTCCAGCGACTGGAAGCCTTTCAGGGAAAGGCGGACCATGTCGCTCGCCGAAGAGAGCCGACCACTCCTCGGCACCGCCCCCAGAAGTCTCTGGTAAGTCCCGCTTCCACCCTCACAAAATACCACTTTAACTATCTTCAAGTACTTAAATCAAATCTGACAAAACATGTCTACTGGTTGGACCAAGTAAATATCTTAATAAACAAAGAACCCCCTAACTTTTACAACCATTTTTGGATTTTTATTGAAAACTTAAAAAACAACTAAAAATCATATTTAACATTTTTTTTACAATTTTAAGTAAAAGGCAATTTATTAAAACTTCCTATACAAAAATCTACTTCAAAATAATGAAATTTATAGCAGTAATAAAATTAAAATAACCCCCAGATAAAATAAAAATGAAACTGTACCAAAAGACATTTTTATTATTTCAATAGTGAAATAACAAATTATAAATCTATAAGAGAAGTATAATAAAAATAAAAAAGTAAAAATAAACCTTCATTTCGACTCAAATTATATTTTCATAAATAAAAAGCTAAAAGCAAACACCCATCTAAATTTTTATGATTTATTAGGTCAGTAATTAAGTTAAAACACGATCTTTTTGTTTTAATTTAGTCATAAACTGTTTCATTATATAAATTAAAAAATAAAATTGGTTAAATTTTATTGTCATACGTGTTGATGTGGTTATGATTGAAGCTCATCATCATTGTGACAAAGTGAACTAGAATGCCAATTATTCTTTCTTTATTTAAACATAAATTAAACAAATTAATTCACTTTGTTGAAAATAAATTTCGGATGGGTTTATTTTGAAATTTCGCAGTTCAAAATCATTTTGCCTTAGATATTTCGCCATCATCACTGTGTCTGTCAGCCTTACATGTCAAAAAATGAATTGTCTTCTTCTGGAAATAATCTCCAATATTTAAAGAATGACTAAATTTTGGAGTTTTCGGTTTGAGTGTTTATTGGATTTTATTGAAACTTTCCTAATGACATTTTGCAATTTTTTTCTGATATCTTTGATCGAATATTTGGTCAAGTGGATAAACATTTTAATTTTGTGTTAAATATGAAAATATATGTCTCTTTTATCAGATCGAAGAAACTGTAATTACTAATGTACCTACTGTGTATTTATAAGCTCTTATGAAATTTAAATTTACCTCTTAATTTGTTCTTATTAGAACGAAAAAGAACTAGGTTTTAGAATTTTGGATAGTGTACTTATTATTTAAATTTAATTTGGACAAAATTATTAATTTTTTATATTAGTAATTATAGTTTCAGGGTTTTGATGAAGGGAATATACTCCTCGACTGCTCGATGAAGGAATTGTCTATTTTTCTTATTATAATTAAAATCTTGAAGGTTGATCTCTAATTGCATATATAACAGTGATAAACATTTTTGCACAAATTGACACAGTTGACGAGGCTGATATCGTAAAATGACCGATCTTCCGATTAGCTAGAACTCTTTGCCCTTTGCCTGTCATGGGGTAGTTTAAAAAACTAAATTAATTATTAATATAAACACTGATTTGAAAAACCGACAATCGCATACTTGGGAGATAAGCTCGATTTAATCCTTCCGCCAAGAAATCTTCTTTGGATTCAATTAATCATTGAAACATGCAAGCTTAAAGGCTTAAATCCCAAAGCATGCCGATACAAAAGTAGTCATTATTGTGATCTTAAATATCATTTATTTAGTCAAATGAGACGCCAGATCAGACCTGAAATAATATATGAAAAAATGGCCTAATCTGGCTATAAAATTCTCTTTTATACGACTTAATTCAAAAATTTAATAATTTTCAACTATCAAAGTTCGCATATGATATAGCCAGGCAGGTTTCGAAAAATATTGATACAGGCTGTTTGATGTACCGTCTGTTCTTTTCTTTCTCTATTCTCCGCTCATCAGCCTCATTGGGCTCTACGGGAGATTCCCTTCGCACTTTGCACTGCTAGACCCTGTACTCCATCAAGCATTAGTCAGATCAACTTAAACGTCCAGGATGGACGGCGCGGAGGAGCTTGAACGGGACTTGAAGCTGGTTTTTTTGTTGTGTTCCTTTGTTTTCCATTTGTGTTCTTTTTTGTTCCATTTGTGTTTCTTTTATGTTCCATTTTTGTTCCTCTGTATTCCTTTTGTGCTCCTTTCTTTTCCTTTGTGTTCCCTTTTATTCCTTTCTGCTCCTATCTGTCCTAATATGTTCCTATAGTTTATACGTGTGTTACCATAAGAACAGTTCTTAAATCTTTGGTTCGTGGCTACAATGTTTAATTAATTTCGCATACTATAAACATTCAAAGCTACAATTAGTTGGTTAAACATATACACATTATTCAATAAATAATTAGATAAATCAAAATGTATTTTTTATAAGCACCATAGGTAAATAAGTTAATCAATTATAGGTATATAAGCAGTATAGATAAATAAGTTGATCAGTTATGAAATAATATACGAAAAAGAAAGGCCTAATCTTGCTATAAAAGTCTTTTTTATATTACTTAATTCAAAAATTCAATCATTCAAATTTTGTGTTCCTTGGGGCTTTAACGTAGATTTGCTTCGCACTTTGCACTGCCATACGGTCGTTACCCTATTATACTTCATCATAAAGCATTAGTCAGATAAGCTTAAATGTCCAGGATGGACCGCGAGAAGGAGCTAGATCGGGACTTGGAATGGGTTTTTTGTTCATTTTTTTCCGTTTGTGTTCTTTTTTGTTCCATTTGTATTCCTTTGTGTTCCATTTTTATTCTTCTGTATTTCTCTGCCTTTTCCTTTGTATTCCTTCGTGCTTATTTGTGTTCCCTTTTATTCCTTTCTGTTACTATGTTTTCTAATATGTTTCTTATTTTATCCAAATAAATAGATAAATAAATATTTTTTACATGCGCTATAGGTAAGTAAGCATTGCAGGTAAATAAGTTGATCAGTTCTGAAATATTATATGAAAAGAATGGCCTAATCTGGCTATGAAATTATCTTTTATATGACTTATTTTAAAAATTCAATAATTTTCAACTATCACACTTCGCATATGATATAGCCAGGCAAATCAAGCCTAATTTGATTCACGGTTACTGTATGTACCGTTTGATCTTTTGTTTCTTTACTCTCTGCTCCTTAGAGTCATTGGGCTCTATCGTAGAGCACTGCCCGAAGGTCGTAACCCTAAGCTCCATCAAGCATTAGTCAGATAAACTTATAACGTCTGGGATGGACCGCGCGGAGAAGCTTGATCGGGACCTGGAGTGGGGGTTTTATCTTTTTTGTTCCATTTGTGTTTCTTTGTGTTCCAGTTTTTATTCCTCTGTATACCTTTTATGTTCCTTTCTTTCCTTTGTGTTCATTTGTGTTTCCTTTTATTCCTTAATGTTCTTATGTGTGTTATTATAACAACAAGTTCTTAAATCTTTGGTCCATGGAAAAATCTTTAATTAATTCCGCATCAGATATATACTAAAAATTTTCAAATTACAATTAGCTGTTTAAATATATATACGTATATATATTCTTTAATAAATAAATCGATAAATAAATATTTTTTACATGCACTATAATAAATAACTTAACTTATTAAATTTATTATTTTATTTATTTATTCTTCGTCGCATGGCCAGTTTTTTAATTAGATAATTTTATTAACATGTTTTATGGTTGCTGTATGATGTACCGTCTGTGCCTTTTTGTTTTGCCGCTCCTAAGCCATATCTGGCTCTTTGCAGCTTCTTGGCTTGCGCTGCTATATAGCTTTTTCTATTATAGACGGAAGCTATGATCGTTCTTTCTCCGTTAGACGGTCGCATCTCTACTCCACCTGGCGAGCTCTTTGTCACAGTTTAGTTCACTGCGTCCGGGATGGGCCTCGCGGAGGCGGCTCGCTCGGGATGTTCAGGTGGAGGAGGTATAGGCTTTTCTGATGTTTTATCTGTAGCTGTGTTATTCGGCTGTCTTTATGTCGGCCATCCTTTCTGTCTCATAACGCTTTTCCACATCTTTTGTGTTGCGTTACATTTCGCTCGTGTGGTGATCGCTGCTGCTATGGCACCCATAGTCGCCGTCTGCTCATTTATTTCGAAGAGCCAGCATACACGTGGAACGACGTGTTTTGGACAACTGAGGAGGACATGTTCTACCGTTTCTTCTTCGCCACAGTCGCACAACGGACTAGGTTTAAGTCCGAAGGAATGGAGCTTTGCGGCGAAGTCTCCATGTCCCGTTAATAGCTGCGACGTGTAGTGGTCGATTTGGAGATGTTTCATCTTCAGTCGGCTTTTAATGTTGGGGAATAGCTCGTACGTGTGACGACCCTTGGGAGAGCCGTCCCGTCTCAGCTGCCATTCCCTCAACATCCAGTTTGACCACCCTGGCAGCAAGCCCCATAGCTCCGTCTAAGCCGAGCTTCCATGGTTCCTGCGCCAGGAATATGTCGATTCCCAGCTGCTGGGTCAAGGCCCTTGCCTCAGCCTGCACTGCCTGAGAGCTGTGGCAGTTCAGCTGTGCTATCTTTAGGCACGCATTTTGAGTACGATTTGGATTACTCATCCTACGCTGATTATGCTCTCGTTATCGGCCTGCATTTGCTGCGGTTCGGGTACCTCGCCGTAGTTGGTGGCACATTTCGCGTTTGCCACTGCTCTTATTTGAGCTTCGCAATATTGCGAGCCCGCACGATGGCTACTGCGTCTTCCCGCCCGGTGGCAGTTGGCGCATTTTAGCGTGCTACTTTTGCAGCTTCTTGTGTCGTGCTGTTCGGCGCAGTTTCCGCAGATTGGCTCCTTTTTGGGGCAGGCTGCGGCCACGTGTCCGTACGCCTGGCAGTTGTAGCACCGTGTAACTCCCTGGTATTCCTTTACTGCACAGGTCTGGTAATCCAGATTGACCCGACCTCTGTTGAGGGCTGATTTCCAAGTTTGCGGGTCAACCTCTACCACCCATGACACGAACTGGGAGTCTTGTCTGCTGGCTCCTCCGTAGCGCAGGGTGTAGAGAGGCCGTATTGCTTCTTTAGTCCAGCCAGGGTTGTTTTCCGCTAGCTGGGCTGTCAGCTCCTCCGGCTT